TGAGACGGAGAATAAAGACAATTTCTTGAAGAAATCGAGGCAAACTGAAAATAAAGACGAGTGAGGGGAAGATGGATGATAATAATAGTGAAAGGCTGTGGGGAGAGTAGGAAAGTTTGGGGGAGAAAAAAAAAGGATTTCACTCCTCAATCTCAAAGAATGTGCTCAGAATCTCGTTAAAGGGGTCGTTCTCTTTATTTTTATTCAACACAAGAGCAATAATCTGCTTTTTCCTCGATGCCGGGTAACAGCAACAGCCGAGATCAGGTCAAACTCTGAGAATGTGTACAAAGTGCAAGTGAAAGCAGGAGAGCGGATGTACATACATCAATATATTATTGCAAATGCAGTATTCAATAAAGTATGCATTTGTGAAAAACTTGTGAGATACAAAGTTGACGGAATTCTGGGATGAGACTATGTGTAAAATGGGTACAGGCGACATTTGTAAAACAGCAGTGATGAATTCCTGCATGGTGATAGACGTACATGTTTACGTACATGTACATGTATACAAATTTATCTCCATTTTGTAGACCATTACTTCCGAGAATATAAACCTAATCCTGGTATTTGAGCAGCTTTATGGTATGCACAAGATCGCTGTTAAATGGTTTCGGATTGGAATGCCAAAGGTATCTGTTCCGAGGCTACAGAGGAACACAAAATTAATCTGCATATGAGGTCAGCGCATGTTTGCGAATTTAAATTGAAAGTTTACATGCTGCCTCCTCCCCAGCGTCTGACGAGGAAATGTAGATCAAGTTTCTCCTAATCTGCTGCCACTTGAATTCTACAGTGATTTCAAACAACAGCGCAAATACATAAAAATGAAATAAACTAAAGGCTTTATCCGGAATCCTGGAAACGACGTGGCCTACGTACCATATATAAATGCATGCTTATAAGTTTATGTACATTTAGCTACCTTACATAATGCATGTATGCACATACAATGCAGAAATACGTGCTGATGAAGATGACACTTGAGTGCCACCAAGTAGAGCCAGAACCCACTCAGGGTACAGACTACCACTTGACGGAGGCCATCCAAATCCAATGCAGTGAAGTAAATGGGAAGGCACCGGAGTGGAAAAACACCAGAGCCTTTCAACCTTTCAAGTGCTTGTTTCCACAAAACCGCAAAAGGTCTCTTTATGTCTTCATCATTCGCAACCCGCTCATCCTGCCTGCCCGCTTCCCTCCAGTCCTCTCTCCACACTCACGGATAGTCCAATGACCAAATTCAGTTTGTCTGGCTTCGGTGCTACGTATGCATGGGGACAGCAGTCAGCAAAGTAATCGGGATCCCCCACCACACACACACGCACAGAACCATATCATGCCCTGAATCCATCCCATGAACAGTTTATGACCAACGCTGGAGCTGTAAACTTGAATGATGAAGAGATTCGTTTTCTAGAATCTAGATTGAAGACACGCTGTTGTGGAGAAAGCCAGCATTTCCTGGAAAAGAGTTCCATCCTTGGTGCCATGGCCATGCAGTTGTTGTGTCCATCGGATGGCCGAATTTAGATTGGATTGGGCATTGTCCACCCACTCGACAGGATGTATCACTTGGTTGGATGAGCTGGCTACTTGATTCCTCGGTTCTCGCCCATTGCAGCAAACCCTTTTTGTGTGTGTGCAACTTTCAAGAGGCAAGAAAATCGATGACCAGAGCCGGAACCTTGTGAACTTTAATCTCGCAGTCCATGAATCAAAAAGTTGACGGTGACAGATTTTTCAGATACGGGGACGCTCTTTCCAAGCTGACTTTCCCCGCTTTTCTCTCGAAAACCTTATTTATTACAGCCATGCAGGAATATATCTAAAGCCAAGGCGAAAAATTATAAATAACGCCTCCGAATGATTTCAAATCCAGTGTTTGTTTGAAGCGTGCTGTGCAAAGCCATCAACACCAAGAGCATTTTTGGGACAATCTACTCTAATAATAATGGAACTCAAGAGTGGGTGTGAGAGTATTACCATGGGGCGATGGTGACAATGAGCGTATGTTGTATAGCCAGCAGCAGCAGTTAGTAAGTAAATCGAGACGAGATTAAATCACTCCGTCGTCGTCGTCCGAAAGAGTTGATACTCGAGTGGATATATTAGATTTCATGAAACATATGTACAGTACACATGTCGAATCGTTCGGCAGGTGGCGAGAATTGTTTGCGTTCAGAGATATGTTGCAGTTGTCGGTGCACAGGGAAAAAACCCTCCATTTCGAAATCAATAATACATGAACCACCCACTCCAAGAATACAATGCGTCCGTCCGTCCGTCAGTCCATCCTCCCAGTGGCGTTGTCGACTCTACATACATACATAATGCAAGTTGCACAATTTTGTGTAGAATTTTGTGTGTGTGGATTGGATGGGCATTCAAAGTGTGATGTCTACTAGTCAAAGAAAGAAGAAGCAGAACATTGATCAATTTGGCTTCTCGTGTCGCTGCGTGTAAGAAAAACGGGTCGACTTTGTACAGAATGCATGCTGTGTTTACAGATCCATTGCGAGCAGATTTACCATTCCGGTGTTTTCTTTGTGAATCCACTACAGCGAGTGAGAAGAGGAACAGAAGCCAAGAATGAGAAGTAGAAAGAGCGCTTTCTGAGCCCTCTCTTCCGTATCATTGCGTGGTGTGGTGTCAGTAATAAATCACGGAATTGCATCCCACCAAAAGAATACCAGAATCTGATAGAAGCAAGTTATGAAATAGTATTAATATAAATAATCCGTGTGTGTGTTGCGATAAAAACTGAGATGGGGAAAAAAGTAACGCTGTTGTAGTTGCCAAAAGCAATGGAGTTCTTTTAGAGAACTATGGTTTAGAGATTTCAAATTTCACGACTGTGTTTGTGTTGAATTGACGGTCGAGTTTTAATATTCAGACAACATAGACAAACTCGAGAGATGAAAAACGTGTGGAAACTGTTGGCTGATTAATTATCCATTTAACGTATATTTGACGGTTCAAATAAGTACTTTGCGATTTCTTAGCGAAATGTTAAAACTTTTGAGATAAGACAAGGACCATTCTCGTGGTGGTGAAGCACATAACCTTCGCAGGCATGCACACAATGGGATCTTTTTCGGGTCGTAGATTTGCTTAATTCTTTCGTAATCCATTACATCATATCTCGTGGATGGAGGAATGGATGGGACTGGGAGGACGACACGAGGAGAAAGAAAGCACTTTGGTGCCGGTATAATGTGGAGCCTATAAAGAAAATGGATGGGGTCGAAGACTCTGCGTTGAGGGGAAAGCTTTTGTGGAAATTGGCAAGGCGAATATATTGGTAATGATAACAATAACTTATAAATGGAGTTTTTGCTACAATACTTATCCTCATAGTTTGCCATTGGCAATCGCCATTTACAGGGAGAAGTATAGCGTAATAAGTTCCTCAAAGAATTCCTCCTCGACGAGTTTGCCCTTAAAAGTAGACGACTGTGAGAAGGACACCATTGTCATCGTCGTTGTCATAATCAGTGGCAACTAAACGGACAGAACAAGAGATAAAGATAAAGGCGGAGGAGGAGGATATAGAAATCCGAATTGGAAGAAGTTTGGCCATTTCATACGTTACGGCATCACCCAGGAAAGCAAACACTTATTCCCGTTATCCTCAAGTACCATGATTGGAGAGTCGTCCCATAGCTTACTTTCTTCTTGTTCGAGTTGGACAAATAGTGACGAGAGGAGGAAGATGAGTGTCGTAATATCATCGCCAACATTACAGCAGGGCCGTCATCATCATCATCAACATCTCATTAAGATTTCTTAATTTAGGATGATGCCCAAGGAGGAGATACAGAGTAAGTAACCCGTTCGCGGAGGAGTGTGATGAGCTCATTGGGCGGGCGGCGGCGGAGTTGAGCGGGATTATTAGGTAGGAGGAAATGAGGAGAAAGGAAGACACGAGACATTAGAGGAAAGCTAAGAGCCCATTCTGCTATGAAATAATCCGATTAGAAGACATAAAAAGGCTTTGGAGATGCACACACAATCACTTTCAAGTCTCCATTATTTATCATGCATTAATGTGGACGAGGAGGGAGGCGGGAGGAGAGGCCTGGGAATTGAGTGAGACCAAGAAGGAGAGTCTCCAAGACGGTGGATGGATGGATGCATCTTATTCGGCACGAGAAGAAAAAGACTCTCTGGCACTGGATTCATTCAAATTCGGGTCGGTGGTTCTCTGCCTGGCCAAGATTAGTGGGTGAGAGTACAATGGAATTTGGAGATGTGTGCGATCGCGGTGGAATTGTAGCATGTTAAGATCTCAAGAATGAACGAGTGTCTTAATGGAATGGAGATATTATGTAAAAGAGAAAGGTCGATTTAGCAGCCACTGAACTGCTCTTTCTTCTTCTGCTACACGAGACGAGCGAGACTCCTTCTTCTTCATCGTCTCTGTGGTAGTCCTCTGATGCTGATAAAGTTAACCGCCGCCTTACACCGCGACTAAGACTCGACCCACTACATCCACCACCACCACCCACCCACAGACTCAATTTAAGACCGAGATCTAAGAATTTGAATTGAATTTAGATTTTGGAATTTAAATGGATTTAAATGGAAACACACAAACCTAGATTTCTCTCCGAAATTCCGACATTATTTGCGAGTTTTATGTGCTCTTTTAAATTTAAGATGTCAAATGGGAAGAGGGAAACGGCGCTGTAAATTTTGATCAAACGAATTGGAAATGCTTTTAGTGAATTCCTTCTCCTCGCTCGAGAGACGTGACGGAGATAATAACGGAGAAAGTGTCGGAATGAAAATTGTCAATTCCTCTGTTTTATTATGTGAATGTCTTTAGCACAGCCAGCAACGTCAACCAACATAAATTCGCAAGGTTGTCAGCTGCCTTAATTTTCAGAAACATTGCAATGTTCCCACATATCCACTTTCCTCGTGTGGAGAAAGCGGGCGGGCGAGTGGCCGGAATTTGAGCTGGCGATGCTGGATAAAGGAAAGTGACTTACAGTGAGTTGTTGAGCGACATATTTGTTCCGGTGTCGTGCTCCAGGCTTGAGGGCCGTGTTACCGAAAATCCAGAACGATCTGGTTGGCATGGGGTTTGCGCACATCTCGACGGAGAGGGACAGAGGTTGGCCTGTAAACCCCATTATTGTTCTGTTCGTCGGGTAGACTGTTGGACGTCCTGCAACGAAAAGCAATCATCGCTCAACATACGAGCCTCCCTTGTTAGTTAGACTCGGAGGACTACAATTCCCCACTTTTTTCATGGACTGCAGAGAAAGAGAGACACAGAGAGAGAGTTATTACCACATGTTCTTCCAAATAGTAAAGTCGTTTCATTCTCGGGTTCATTATATGTTCCTACGCATCGAAATGAATAGTTTATTGACGTTTTTTCTGCATTTTGGCGCAAATCCGGTGTCAGTAGGATAACATGGCCTTTTTTAAAATTACGAGATTTTATGCCATTTCATAGAATATCCTCAGCTAATCAAACTATAGTATAGTTACTATGCTCGTATCATGCCCAAGCAATAGTCGACTATGGTACATGAAAACACTGCTTTCTCCCGACATGGTGAAAGCGATTCTTCCTCTTGACCACAAATTACTTGCTGTTGAAGGACTGGGAATAATAAGACGACGACTCATTTACCGTGAGCCCTTCTCTCAGATCCCATATGTACACAAATACGGGCGGTTAGGCTGCTACATGCATGTACTAGCGCCTTTCATTCATTCTCAACCAATTTCTTTGCTCCGTGGTGTCTAACTTATTTCCTCCCGGCGGACCTATGAAGTCTGATTCAGCGGAGGATAGGTTTTCGATTCCCCAACACTTAACATTCTGCTGCACCCTTGACTTTGCAGATAGATTGAGGCACGCCGGCAAAGAAAATAGAGTCGAGTGATTGAGTAAGTGAGTGAAAGTGAGCTGACGGCTCCAGAAACCGTAGTGTGGCCAAGAAATTTAAAGATGGTTTTGTGTCCTCTTTATCTCACGTCACGTTGCCACCGTATTTATCCTACGGACACCATGTACAAACTCCACCACAAAGAAAACTCTGTAGTCGCTGGAATAAATCCAGAATCTTGAAAAGTTTACAAGAAAGTTGTAAATTTTTGTACGGAACTGATTGTTGGAGAGTATCGTGGGTGGGATAAGAAGGCGGATGCACCATAAGCGGGGTGTCGAGAAGAGTAATAAGAATTTTTATTCGCTTCCAGCCAAAACCAGCACATCGAGGTTTGAATGTTGTGAAAGCAGCGTCATAAAAATGGTTGCTCGCCGTTCTTTCTCCTCTCTGGTCGGGTTGTCTCCACGTTGAAAGCGCCGTATTTCGTACAAAGAAAGAAGGAGAGGCATTTGGAATGCAGAAAGCTGGACGGCTTTCATTGACGAGGAGGAGAAGGATGCGAGAGTGAGATGATTAGAAGAATCCGCATCCTTCATGCTTTGCTTCTCCTCCTCTTCTTGTGATCTCTCTGGCATGTGTGTCGCTCTGATTGACTTATGAAACTCCCCCATCCGACCGTCCATGTAGATACGTACGTATTTCAGGCCTCTGCTTCTGCATTGTGTGCCAGAAATAAAGATGGATAGAGACAAAGTGGAAGAAGTTCAAGGTCTCCAGCTCCGTGCTACCACATGACCAAAATAATAGATCTCTAGAGGGTTTAAACCTTCCTAGTTTGCTGGACATGGGGAGGACACTATTTAACGTTTGCACGGTATACATACACGCGTAGAATGTAAATACGTACGTACGTCTGTCCATTTATATGAACTGCACCCCAGACAGACGAGGCATTCAGTTTCCTTTCGTCAAGATCACTGACTCATAAATTCCACTCGGGTTGACTTTGACTTTTCCTCGTAGAACTGGTGGCATATCAAACGCCGTGGTGGTGTCAATTCAAGGGCGGAAAAAATCCGGAAGCGAGGAAAAAGGAGAAATCCATCTCGATCTTCTTTCTCTCTCCAACAAGTCGTCTGACGGTTCAGGGGATCAGGAGAAGAAAGAAGAGCTGAATATATCAAAGGCCTAATCTCTCTCTACACGAGTGATGACTGGGCTAAAACTTGACTAACCGACACCGCACCACCAGAAAACCTTCAAACAAGGGTGGATTTGGCTGGATATGCGCTCCTTGCAGATTATGCATCTCATTCTGCACTATTGAAGAATAGTATGTAGATATATTGACTGGGAGAAAAGTGCATACGAAAAATGTCTCAATCAGCACAATTCTTGATTCCTCTCAAAGGCTCTCTCTTTGTCTTTCTCCAGACACCCGTGAAAATTCTTCACTCTTATCTGCGGGTCTCTCGACCAGAAGCAGACATCACAAAGGCGCACTTTACTACTTCGCTATATTATTAATTTTTAGTTACCTGACACAACTACGGTGACATCGTGCGTCACTGCTCGTCGCTCCTCGAGGCCGACGCGATTCACCGCCGTGCATCGGTAGTTGCCAGCTTCTTGGTACAAAATTCTATCGAGAATGAGCTCCTGACCTGAGCCCACGGTCGTAAGCGATCCTCCGTAACCTATTCTGCTCCAACAGAGTGCCGGCGAGGGCGTTCCTTCGGCCCCGCAAACCATTTGAACTCGATCCCCCACCGTCGCCTCTATCCTCTTGGGTGGCTGATGAACTATTGTTGGCTCATCTGGTGGGTAAAAAAAGAAAGGAGAAACGTTCAGATTGGGAAATGTCAAGATGATTTTTTTCTCTGTAATTGATGAAAAGGAGGGTCCAAATATATTCACTACTATCCTGGCTAACTTGCTTCACGATGAGACGCATGAATGTCTCTCCGACTACTCAACTGCTAATCACTTTGGTTTGTCCGAGCTTTCTAGCAAAAACCTGGCTAAGTTTGTTAGTATTAATCACTGAGTCTCTCTTTGACGACTCTTGTGTAAGAAACAAAACTGCAATTAGGAGTCGCGTGTACTTTTCCCATCCTTAGTTGTCGGTGCCTGTCAAGAGAATTCTCAACTCCCAATTACCACTTTTCATCCTTGTCTATCTTCCTTCCCTGATTGTCTTAGCCTCCAAAGTTTCACACATTTTTCTACTAATATGTAAGACTTGCTATTAGTTCTCTACTCTAAGAAGTCGAGAATGAAATTAGTGCGAATTAGCTTCATAATTATGGTGTTAGCTGGAAACTAATGTGAGACATGGTTTTTGCTGGATAGTTTTCGCACTAATAATCGTAGCTAAATTTTGGTGCATTGCAATTAATGTTTTGCATACGAGATATCCATTAACTTACATCGCACAGTTACATAAATTCCAACTGATGAGAATTTTCCCAGTGGATGGTGGCTTTCACATTGATACCTAAACATACATATAATCATAAGAATGTAAGAAGCATATTCATATTTTGAAGCAGAACACAGAATAGTTTGTAAGACGACGACGTAGGACTTACCACCCGGTGTGATTTCTATGCACGGACGTGAAATTCAGAAAGCCGTCATCTGTCTGCGGAACTGGGGGCTCTCTCTTATCTGGAACGCAGAGAAAAAGAAAGTAAACGTCATTTTCGAAATCCAACACGGTGAATCGAATGCATTTATTGCATATTGTGTGGTAACAGACTGTGTGGCATGAGCCCTTGGGAATTATTCCACCCCAAGCTAAAGCCTCCACCAAGAATATTACGTTACATTGCGAGATGAAAAACATAAACCACCAGCAAAGTCCAATCTTCCCAATTGTACCCGAGAAATAGAAACGTTGAGGACTTTTGCGTTTAAAATATGTTGATACCAGGATTGTGACCAACCAATTCATGTAAATTATAAAATATGGCGATTTTTTTACATCCTCAATATGGTTAAAAACTAGAAGAAACCACCAGAAGAAGAAAACGTTTCTTACACATTTTTACATTTGTATCTATTATTATGATTGCAAGAGCTTTCTCCCCTCCATCCCATCCGCCGCCCTAGACCATCCTCAAGCACATACATAATAATACTGCTCGAGTGTGGTCGTCTTATTCTCTACGCACATTTCTTTTCCATAATTTCTTGGAAGGGTGCGACGACGACCTCGTCCTCCAAGTTTTGTGGTTGAACTGCTGTCTCCTCTCCTCACCAACATTTTCCACGCCTCGAATGATGATGGATGTCATTACTCACTTTTCTCACTTTATTGAACTTGTCAACTCATTCTGCCCGCCTGTATTTTTATTCGGTCATTCTCCCCACAAACAGCCCAACGTGTCAAGAGTGTTTGTGAGCTAAACGACGATTTTATCTATTTCGTGCTGTATTTATAACTTTATGCCTTCCGTCTCCTCGCCCTCCACGCACCCCTTCTTCTTCGTTCCGTTTTATTATTTGATACAAAATACGCAATAAGAAATTCACAATGGAGAAGAATGGCATGACAAATCCGCGCCATAAAAATAAGACGCAATATGCGCCACCACTTTCTAAATAAATATACGACGTGCTATGTTTGGTATTTCGAATTTTCAACTTCAGAAGAGAGAAAAGAAGTGGAACAAGCTTATGCTGTCGTGTCAGTCATCATGTCCCCCTTTTTCCCCTGCTTCTCATTTTTAACTCGGTCGGAGTGAGACTCAAAGAGCCACTTGAGAAGAAGAAGAAGAAGAAGGAGAGAAAGGAAAGTTATTATCATTTATTTGGTCGACTGGAATAAAAACAAATAAAAAGTTGGGTTAGATTAATGTTAATGTTGTCTCTTTGAGATTTTAGATTGGATGGGACTGGAAGGGGAGAAGGGAGAGAAAGCCAATGTATTTATTTCCACGGTCGAAGGATGGGCGGTTGGTGGGGAAAGCAAAGGAGCCGAGCGACCGCCCAGGGTACGCGCGGCCTGCTGCTGAGACCACGACGACTGGATCGACTTGACTTGAATGATGTTGACTTTCCTAAATTTTCGTTTGTCGTTCAGGGGAATCTCTTTTGACAAAGGACAGAGTTATTTCTCTCGAAATTACTTTGTTTAGCAAGTTTTCTGCTTTGTGTTAGTGAGACAACAAAGTTTTTCTCACCACAACCCGTGCCCATACACGCACTTGCAAGTCCAAATACAGTTGGTGCTTACTCTCGCCTCGGCTTTGGTCGAGTCCACGCTTGCTTATTCCTAATGAAACACTTTCTTTCTGGGATGATACATAATGTGGAATAAAAGTATATGCGCCACGGGGTGCCGTGATGACGACGATGTACAGCGTATCGCTAAAATGCGTAATGCATCCCCCGATGTATAAATATAAGAAATAAGTTCATTGAAGCAGCTCAGAACTCCTTATCGAGTGTCTGAGCAAATACAAATTTCTTTTCCTCTCGCCATTGAGGTTGAGCTTGGGGTTCTGCTCAACTTTCGCTTTAAATGGGGGAAGAAAACTCAAGCTCTTTAAATTATTTCATTTTCATGCGCATATCTAAACGAGACTAACCAACCGTGAAGCTAACAATCTCCGTCATATTACTTCATAAAATATACGTTGTAGAAAAGAGGTGAAAGCCGACTTTCTTCCTAAGACATCCCCACTTGGACCATTTCGAGCTACATAAGTGCAGGGTAAATTGCATTAGCAAGAAACGGAGTGCATTGGATAAGACGGTTGATTATACGAAGCCTTGAAAACTACGGAAGATGAGAGAAAGTCCATAACTCAAAGAGTAAATATTGGCTTAATGCATTGGTTAATGAAGAATTTAGAAGTGTGACTCTGTCGTTGGTGTCAAGTTCATAGATATTTCAGCTGGTCTAAGCCCTTGACAAGGTGTAAGAGGAGATGGAGAGGAAATGAAATGAAGGAGGGTAGTTCTTACAAAATGTAATATTATGAAGAAGTTGAAGGATGAGTGAGCAATACATTTGAATGAAATGAAACAAAGTGTGGAGAGACGGTTGGCTTGAAGGTATTTAGTGAGCGAGGAGGGGCAGCGTGCTTCTTAATATGGACCCCGCACTGCATCCTCCAGTTATTCGGATCGGATCCACTTTCCCTTTGAGTTTTGACTTGGAAGGGAAACCGTAATTATTAAATTAGGAGGGAAAAGACAATGAGAAGTTGGTGGATGCATACAAATGGCTCTTTTGTGCGTGATGGTTTCAGGGGAGAAACTGGACGAATGCAAATAAGTGGGTTGAGGTTGAGAACGTGCAATGCGCCTCTCTCTCTCCAACGTCCAAGGATCTTTAGCCAGCCCAAAGTACATGTCACGCAGTCCCAGGAATTTATTTCAATTGAGACTGTCTCGCAAAAACGCAAATTTATTATGCTCAGGGTTCTTCCTCAACACGCCAAAAGTTTAAAATTGTATTTGTATTGGAGCAGGAAGCAAGAAGTATGTGTGCACTGTGTGCATGTAGGTTTGGTCATATATTCGTCCCTGGAATAAGCTGACACCGACTGACACATCGACTATCTGTCTTGATATCAAGGACCAACTTTCTTATGCTTTCTCATTTCTACACCCAACCCAATTCAGTCGCTTTCTCCGGCACACTCTCATCTCACAAACTCCCACGACGACTGCATGTTTGCTCTTTTTCAAGTTTTAAATTCAACGCTGGATGTAAATAAATCAATAGCAGAGCACCAAACAAATCTTCACTTTATCATCCACTTGAAGCAGATTTGGGAACAAACTTCCCTACCTTTTGACATTCAATCCAAATCAACAGAGCAGCCATACGACGATGTACTCCTCGTTGCAGCAAAAGCACACAAATTCACGCATCCAAGAGGAACTTAAACAAACAAAATATTGATAGCACAGAGCAGCGAGAAGTGAACAAAATAAAGTACAAATAGTGCCATGTGCCAAAGATACAGTCCTGCCGTTTCAGCAGTTTTGTTACTTTGACAGGACGTGTGCCATCCGTGTGGCATCATTTCAACAGCGAGGAGGCAAAAGGAAAGCAATTCTCATCCCTTCCCAAGAGGTGCTTTTACCTTTCTTCCTTCACGGACAGAGCGGAGACGAGAAGAATACAATTTTCTCCCCTCGTCTGCTTTCCCTTGGAGTGGCTGGCTCCCATGCAACGTGTGGAAACACGGAGGTGCATGGGCAAAGGGAAAAGCCGTTTGTGTATGGAATAAAACTTAAGATTTACTCGTGTCGTGGTAGCGAGGAAAAATGATATCGAGTTTGAAGAGGAAAGGTTCGTGGAGGGAAAAACCAAAATTTTTTGCACTTGAAACTGTCTCTCTGACTCTAAGAAATAACTAATACCCGTGTTTTTGTTCAGTTGAGTGTACTTTTCTTGGTACTAATTCCAGGAGAGTGGGAAAGAACAGGAAAGCACGGAGTAAGTAAGTTAGAAAACAGGGTGACGACCACTGCTTTCCATTCTCACTGGCAGGAAGATACAGAACATTATCCTTGGTGAAATTACCTCCGACAGAACAGAGAAACATGGGTGGTGCATCTGGATAGGCCTACGAGTCGTACCAATAATGTAGACGAACCGTGATGAGATGAGCTTAGTGTGTTTCTTTCTCCAAGAAAAGTGGTTCTTCTTCTCCTCTCTCAACAACCCCAGTTAAATCTTGTAACTGCAAACAGGCTCAAGCACGAGAGAGAAAGTAATCTGTTGGGGATGATGCCGTCCTCCCGTGATCTTTTGTGATGACGAAAAACTAAACAGATTGGCCCCGAAAAAAAAAAGCTGTGAGCACTTTCATCAAAGCCATCTTTTAGTTTTGTCAGCACCTATGCTTCAATCTCATCGTAAAGAAAACAAAATCCTCAAAAAATAGTTTTCTACTTGAAGTTCCTATTGGTGAAATCAGTGCTTTCAAAGGTGCGTACTCGATGGATGGAAACCTGACGTGAATGGAAATTAAATAGCTTCTTGTTGACTCGTATTAATTATCCCTGGCGCTGGTATATCACCACTCTTGATAAATACATGGTTGGTGGGTCGAAGAACCCAAAGTGTTTCTTTCTGAATCGGCAATTTCGGATAAAAAAAGCCAACAGAAATGGAATTAGGATTAGTCTTTTCATCCTGAGAAGAGAAGCTCTCATCAAAATGGCACATAACGAGTCGCAATCGATTTTCCTCTTTGTCTTCTTAAACTCGCGATAGTATCAGCACTTTCTTCCCTGCTCGGGAGGCCTGTTGTGTAACGCAGGAGGCATAGAATTACTCAATTGAACAGGTTGTATCTTTTTGTTGTGGCTGATAATATTTTAAGAGAAGGAAAATCGTGAAAGAGAGAAAAAATGGTGCAAAACTACAAGTGGAATCCGTACGTTGTTGGCAACATCCAATCAAGCAGTATGGATCTGCCGTCACATTCATCGTCGTGAGGCAACCCCAGCGCTAGACAAGTCGAAGGAAGAAGTGCTATATAGCTTTCTCAGTCTCGCTATTGATGCTGCCACTTAATCTTTCAGTTGGTTTCAGTTCAGAGTCAGGAGGAAGGAAGGAAGGTGATGTGATGGTTATGATATTTCGCAGAAGGAGCAGAGACGACGGTCGTGGTGGTGGTCTGGCGATGAAAAGAAAAATCTTTCCTGGACCAGTCTTGCATTTCTCTTCCTGTCTATTTCCCACTTTATTTCACCTCAGAATCGGAGTTTTTTTTTGGTATCCCATCTGTTCGACCATGTCTCTTTTCCTATCAAACAACGAGGATCGGATAAAGGGTTGGTTGTTGGGCTGGGGCCCCCTCGTTTGGTAGCAGGCGAAGGATTACGCTCAATTCCATAAACTAACTTTCTCCTTTCTTTCACCTTATAATCTCAAAACCTGAATCTACTTGGAGCCGTAGATATGCAGCTCCTGAGCCGTGCACCAAGCCACCCACAGATTGATGTCTAATCTAATGTCTGCCACGACCGGATGTTGAATTGGAGGAGAAATGGGATGGATCTCAGTTGAAGAACCAACAAAGTCGATTTCCCGTTTGCATTATGGCACTTACCTCACATACCACATTATGTACTAACGGATTGATCTTCTCTTTTTGTACTTTGAAATCTAAATCCCTCGTGATTATCATATGAAATGGGTTCAACTAGGCTTGATGATGATTCTTTTCGGCTTTTTTATAGCAGCTTCAACAGCTCAATCCATCTCGGAAATTGGAGTTGAAGTGGAAAGACGACGGTTATGGCTAATGTGTTTCCTTAATTTCTCCATTATTTCTGTGATTTTCTTACCAAGCAGAAAGTGCTTTTGGCAACACTAACACACACGTTAACGTGTACATGCATAAGTACACAAATAATATGTATTTGGGTGCAATGTTTAAGAGTAGAAACACGTGACTTTACCTTTTAACCATATAGGACGGCTCATTGGATTGGCGTCTACCTGTGTAATCAAATGACATTCGAGTCTTAAACATATGCAACTTTTTACTTGGTGCCTTTGCTCGGAATTATATATTTTTTTTAAATGACCTTACCTCGCACTTCAACGCCATAGCGATTCCCTCACGAATGGGGTAGCCGAAGCCAGGAATACGACTCAGAACGAAAGATGGATGATCTGGCAGAGTAAACAGGGCAATATTAGTACCAAGTCACGTTTTCATATTAATTATTCTCCATTTCAGCATATCAAGCTTTTACAGGGGAGCATTATTCATAAAGCAAATCAAAATAATGGCCACGCCGTCGTGAGTGAGGGTTTACAGTTAAACGCATCCTCGTCGTCAGCCCTGCAAATGCTTGCCATTATTCCGTTTTATTGGTTTATTGCGTTGCAATGGACATTCAAATTCCATTTCTGATTGCACCACGTCTGAGTATAAAATGTAAATGTGATGTCAACAGGGATTCACTTCAAATGGAAAGGGGTTGACCCTCAACTTCAAAGCAAGTGGAATGGTGTACATAATGTCCGTGGCTAATGCTGCCATGTCAGGGATTTACTTGGATCACAATTTATGCGGACACGACACATTTAATATACGTACGTACACACTGCACTTTACCAACCAACCCGGCGCGGAGGGACAGTTTCTTTCGTTCAGTTCAATTTAAGATGAAACTGACACGACATGACAGATAAGGAAGGGCGGTGTGAAATGGATGTGAGTGGATTTTGTGGTACAAAAGTAGGAACGTAGAGTGTATAACAAGGCGATGAGAAATGCGAGCGGAGGTCAAGTCAAGCAAGTTGCATAATCTACGCACCACGATATCCTCAGCCGGTCACTTGAGCTCGGACACTTTGTGCGGCCACGGAACATTGAACAGTCAAAGTGAATGGATGGCATACTATGCGCACATAAGAGACATACCCCAAGTCGTTATCTTGTCCCTGTAAAAGTGGACTATTGAACTTCAGCCAGGCCTTTCAAGAACTTATGCAAGCCTCGTAAAATGCATTTTGAAATTCCTGGCCCTAAACTTTGTCCATTATTCGATGGAAATCCATGAGTCAGTTCCATATCCGCTCGTCCTCCGATTTGGGTTGATTTCCATGCAAATGGTCAAGTGGATCCTGCATCTGCTGGGGGAGAAAGCACTACTGGAGCCGTGTTGTTGTTGTTGTCATCGTGGGCTGGAGGAGGCGTGTTTGTGGGGGTGTATTTAGTTGAGGTGGTTTCACTCTCGGGTTTATGAATGCGATTAAAGTACAAGCACCCAGCTGCCAACTTTCACCAGCCGTAGCAGTTGAGTACATACATAAGTTACCCCATTTCAGTTTATCTGATATACTGACTGAGGCGATATACTGAAATATAGGAAGGACTGCATTAGAAATATTAAGAAGATTTTCTGGGTTGCAAACCGTGACATTATTCTCTTATCCGATGCGAGATCCGTTCAACATGACAGAGTCCGATTGGATGGTATGTTGATGGCAGCTTTTCTTTGAATAGTGAGAGAAGCAATGGCGTAGTCCGACTATCCAAAAGATATGCGATAACCTAACCAAAGGGGTTTGTGTAGGACAAGAATATAGTGCATGTATTTTTGTCAAATCCCTTGAGAATCAATCTGGAGAGTCTCTTTTACTCTTCCTCCCAGTATTTCCAAACATTCGTGCTTACCACGGAAGGAGCGGGGACGACGAGGGTATCAGCATCCCGTCTTGAATTTGAATATTCCAATTTCCTCTTAGAAATAGAGAAAGCCTAAATCTCTGCAACTTTGGAAAGTTTGGGGACTGACAATGTGTCTTATCTGTAAGAATTGTGAATGAAAACCAAGTCCCCAGTGATAGCCAAAGATTTATGGCATCTTTAATAATGTCGTTTATATTTTATGCCAACTTCACTTTATCGCGCGACAGCACAAACAAAAATAACATTTTGTTCTCCTTCTTATGCAAATTGCTCAATTACCGCAAAATATTAAAAACAGGAAGTTCTTAACAATCCTCACTCGTGAGATGTGCACCTGTCTTTCTATTCAAAGCTATTTGGAAAGTAATGCCGGTTGTTAAAATCACACGAACACGGGTCATGCGTTTCCCAAAGGTGCACACTCATAGTCTGGCCCCAAATCCGACATCCCAGGTTTAGGTCTTCTTACGAAGCAGGAGGAGAGGGAACTCGTGGCAGTGGCAGCTTCAGGGCCTTTACACGAGTGGTGGATCGCCGTCATGAATAATGCATGACGCCACTCTGTTCTGCGTTCATCGGAACAGTCCTCAAACAAGGGAGTCAGTTTTTACCAAATCAAGATGAATATTTCCTTCTGTAGCGGCTACATGGCTGATACACCCAACTCTTCCGTTCAACACTAACGAGACTGACGGCGGACGAGGAGGATAAATGCGTCTGTATTAAATGTGACGCCTTTACATCCTCCCTGGTGTACGGTGGAGACGACCTTTTCTCTTTTTATGTCCCCTGCTCCTCGCATACCTCAAAGATGACAAACAACGTCTCACAAAACTAGCCAAAGGCGTCGAATCGTACCAACATCCCATTTAAATCGATTCACAGAACATCGTCTAACTTGGCTCTGAATGATGATGATAAATTATATGACACTGACAAGCCATGCATACTTGCGTACACATCTAGCTAACCAAGGTTCCAAACCTCACGGCGACGTGAGTGACACGGTGACATGATTATATATCTTCACTGTCCGTTAAAAACATCGCAGCTCAAATTCAGAAAAATTTTCAAAACAGAGGAATTTTGGACAGGACTTTCACATCTTTCAGAAACTTTAAAATGGGAAGCAGGATAATTTAGAAATATTCAATTCGTAAATAATAAGCCTGCATTTAAGTTCCGAATAATTTGATAGGAGGGAATAAATTAGGATTAAAATTAAATTTAGGCCCAACTGTGCCCTGGACCACGGGGGAAGGCAGAGCAATTTCTGTGTTAGTATGCCACATCCGGTTCCTTATCATAACTCGCAGCAGAGTCTGGCTGACTTTCCTCCCACGACGTAAACGGGGATTCTCTTTTGCGAGTGTCTTATGCCGACCAAACTTTCACTCTATTAGGCAGGCATTTCCTCCACTGTGCAAATTTCCACCCCGAGAAAGGAGTAAACACTTCTTTAAGAAGAGGGACCCATAACTCATCCACCACAGCAGTTTTCTGACAGTTGGGATGAGCACAACAGGAGGAGCCTAATTGTCTCATGATTGCTCGTGTGTGATTTAACATGATTTACTGATCTACTGCCTCACCAAGAACTTGCCAACAAACTGCCTCCTCCCTGTCAGGCGAATTCCTTCTTCAGCGATATGAATTCCTCTTCGTCTTCTTCTTCCAGGCTGCCCAGTGTGGCCAGCTTTTCGTTCGCGAAAGTATACTTAATTATTTTTGACAAGAGGATTCAGTTGCGTGAGAAGTTTTCCGAGTTGGAGAGACAGATACGAACTCAAGTTTGAAACGAAAAACCGACAATCTATTTGGTCAGAAGAACTTTCCAAACATGTTACATTATTGAGTTAGCTGCTGTGTTGTATATGGAGGTAGCATAAAAGTTTGTGTCCTTCTGAGAGGCAGGAGCAGACCATAAATTATTTTTTCTTCAGAAATGTGCCAAAAGATGAATTTAACGATTCATTGCCTTCATCATCATCTTCTTCTTGCCATCTCCTTGCATCCATCTGGCTGCATGCAACACCCTGGCCCAAATAATAAATTGGGTCGATATATGAACATACCTCAACACGGAGTGAGACATCAAAATTATGGTAAACTTTGGGATAAGAAATTAAAAAGCCAGGAACAGGAGCAGCAGTATCAAGCCATAAATAACGATTGGTGGGGATTTTGTGTTCCAGTAATCCCATTATTGCTGCTAGCATGGTGAATAAGCAAGTAATTTGGTAAATGGTGAAAGCATGAACATGCACATGCATGCATATCTCCATTGAGGCTGCAAGAATATTTATAAATTGGTACGGTACTCACATTCAATGTTGAACTGGGCCATAGCTCGAAGGTAGGAAGGTTCGTCGTTGGCCGTGGTCAGCAGCTCGTGATCAACGACGCACAAAACACTTTTGTTATTTTCACTTCTAGTAATATTGTCCATTCTTAGGATGCTGCGGCTAATATAAATTTTCGTGTCGTCCAAATACTCTGACTTTACTTGGCTATGATTAGTCAGGTTCCTGGAGTTCAGAAACCAGTAAACTCGTGGCGGAGGGTTCCCACCTTCCACGACGCACTGAATTGTCACATTGTCTGCAACAAAGCCATAATTATTAATTACAGTAATTGCTCAATAATTGAAACCACGCTTAAAACTTATTCCGACTCCAAGTACAAAGTTTTTTATTGCGCTTTGAACAGATTTACGACTCGGATTAGAATATGTAGACATATTTTGTGCGTACCTTTCTCCCGATAAGTCACTTTCGATGAGGGAGAGGAAGCGGACATCAACGGGGTGGGCGAAATTCGGCGACCATCGAATTCCAAGTGGACAGATCGCGGTGCGGCTTGAATATATTTTAGAGAAAATTAATGTAAATTTTTGGATAAATTAGCTCCAACAAATCTCTAATCTGTACATAAATAGACGGATGAAGTGTGCGTGGGTTCATTTCAAATGTGGCCCCAGGGGGATGAGTTGTTTGAAAATAAAATTGCATATCTACATTTATCTAACCAAGTGCTTTTTAGACGCTTAAATTGAGGAGAGCGAGATAACAATTTATTTATTCAGGAATGGAATAGAGAGAGACTTTTGTAAATGACATTGAGAAAAATTGTAAAAAAATAAATTCAGTTTACTTTTATTTCCTATTGAAAATAGTTGGATTTTGCGGAACCAGTTTGTTTCTAAAGTCAGTCGGAGGGAGAGGGCGAGCCCAAAAAGTAAGTAAATGAAAGTGGAGAAGAAGGGAGGTCGACTCCTAAAAGATCGCTTCGTCAGGTTGCGAGAACTGATTTGGAAAGCAGTCAATTTACAATTTAACCAGACTGACTGACTCTCTTTCTCTCAAGATTGCCATGCACATGAAAATTCAAATTTGAGACCTGGGGCCGAGATAGTAAAAGCGTGAGAGCTGTTCGTTGGAGCCAAATTCCATCAAATGCAAAGACTCCCAAATTACTTTCACTCAGGTTGGAATACCTTGTTCCCCTGTTTGTAGTTCCATTATTCCCAAATTTAAATAAAGTTTGTAGACAATATACAAAGAAATTTGTTCCGACATGCAGATTTAAAATTTGAATGTGTTGTCCACGTTATCCAACCCAATCCAACCATCCCACACGAGAGGAGGACATTCCCTCAACTTTTGATGGTGGTGGGGAAAAAGAAGTTCGTGTGTCGTGTGGCATAAGAGAAAGCAATTTACTTCTCCATTTTTCTTGCAAATTCTCTAAATCAGCTCGAAATTGAATGCATAAAGCTTTATTTCATCCCATGCATGCATTCCCTCTCGATAGCGTTCCATCCACCACCACCACCGACTTTCTCCCCATTTCCTTTCTCTCTCTCACCGTGAGGAAGAATTCGTCTCATTGGATTTTGTTGGATTGAACATAACGTCATCGTCGACGTCGTCGTATGATTGCGAATATTTGGAATTGAACGTTTTGATCCGTATAGTAAACCGTCACTCACCTAGAACAATGACCCGGATGGGTTTAGAGACATGCTCCTTGCCATCAAATTTGGTCTCGTGACATTGCCAGACACTGCGGAATAGAAAAAATCACCATGTTGCTACTATCCAAATACTTAAAGACTATGAAAATATACCCGTTATCTTCTGGCAGCACGTTATTGATGGTGAGACGCCCTTCGATGGCACGGTTTTTATTTGGACCTTGAATCGAATACCTTGATACCAAAATAGTAAAATAGAAAAATTAGTTCCAATTCGTGGTTCGTGGTCTTCACAGATATATCAACCCATTTAATTATACGGATAAATAACTAACACAACTCACCGTCCATTATCCGTGCGAATGCCATTCCCATTTAACAGCCAGATTATACGGCCGTACGTATTATTGAGCTGCAATTTAAATACAAACAGTAAGTAAAGAAGCCTCGTATATAGACGAGCGACAAAAAAGTGACGGTGTAATTTAGCACCTCGCATTTCAATTTTAGCTCATGGCCTGGTTTCACTTTCACAATGCTCAACTGTTCTTTTGGCGGGGGTGCGTCCCCCGCCATCAGCAGCAGCTCGTCTTCCTTGGACTGGGACGGGGAATCCATTAGCATAGACGACGACCCAACGACGGACTCCTCCAAGGACCCGAGGTGGTCCTCATCCTCGCCACGGTCTGATTGTTCAGAGTCTGAATTGACGGTGGGGCCTCCTCCCACCGGCGACATGGGGAAGGGCTCCACGCCCTGTAATAACGGGTTCAAGGGATGACCTCTGTGATGACGAAGGGAGTGTGAACATAACACAATGTGACCTGCGGAAGAAAGAGAATTAGAAGGAGAATTAGAATTGGTGCATGGAGGATTAGACCATTTGAGTTTAATAATGTAAAAGCATTTAGAATTTGACCGGAGGGTGAATACATGATGAGGGAGAGGAGAGCGAGGGGAAAGTGTGCGTGTGTGTGCTATGAATCGAATTATTTGATTTCAACTCCGTCACGAAGAATTACTGTTAAGTCTTTTGTAAACTGAGACATTAGTGAGCGATCCGGCTGGGGTAAAATAATCCGATGTGACTTTCGGCCAGTAGAGAAAGTAAAGTGGGAAAAACGCCGTGAAATTATTGGGGCTCGATGTATGTACAGGCTTACAGCGTGGGTGATGTCGTCGCATTTCTAATTGGTGGTTAGTACCAGAGGATTGTGATTTTGGTTCATGAACCACGTTTTCCCCTCGGAAAAATGTAAGCTCGGTGAGAAATCGTCGTCTCGGTGTTCATAAGGATGCGGATCACACTCATTTCATAAGTCTGGCTGGTGGTTGGTAAAAGTGGGGGCTTACATACTGTTGCTTACTTACTGCGATGCCTTCCATCCTACGAAGCACAAAGCCACCACAAACAACGGGGAGATCAAAACTATACTTAGCCCTCCCACAAGTTTATTAAGCTTATTATACCAAAAGTGCATCTCAATACTGCTGTAATTTTCTGCTTCATCTTAGTTGCTGCGAGACACTCATTGGCATCATGATTACGAATACGTACGTACGTACGGCAGTTGGTGGGGTAGCATATAAATACATTCTTCTTACGCCTCTCCCATATTTCAACTTGTGGTCAAACTTTCTCTTGTGGCGATGAAGCAGGCATCACCCACTTGGATACGCACTTTCCCATCCCCCTGAATTGTTTTCCTAGCCACTGCCAAGAATCAAAGGCATTCCGCCAACGCGGAATACATACAAGATGGTTAGTTGATGGATCCTGGATGGAATGCCAAGTTCCTTGCACTCCGCCACCACATTGCATCACAATTCGGAATATTAAATTGAATTTTATGCGGCTTATCATGGAGACAAGACAAGGAAGGGGCTGTGTTGGTTATGCGGTGGTGGGAAAAAGAAGGTGCTGTTCTGCTCGTCAACAGGCCAAAGAAATTCTCTTCCTGAACAGCCAGCCAGCTACCATTACGTATTCTAGAATTCTTCACGCGCATACTTGCCATTCTAAAGGGACTCATTTATAAAGTTTTACTTTCTCCACGAATAAATATGTACGACTGAAATTTATAATAGACCTGATGCGTTCGACTTTTGCACAACCAGTCAGATTTAAAGACGCTGCATCCACAATGACAATGTGGAAGTCAGGGGTAGAAAATCACCCCTGAAAATCAACCCATGTAATCATCACATGTAAGGTTCCAAAACTTTGAGTTGGTTTCCAACTCCTCTTCGCCCAGAGTGAGGAGAGAACAAAGGGATCCACAGAACGAGACGTTCTCATCATCACTCATTCATCCACGTAATCTCGATGAGCACCAAGTGACTGGCTTGACTGCGTGGCTTGAAGTGGAATTGAAATTGTCGAGTCGACTTATAGAAATCCCAGGCTCAGTCAAGCCATCAGTTTAATTGACTGTTTCGCGAGTTGACAATTGTGACAATGGTGATTCTCAGAAATTTTAATTTGCATTTGCATTTGAAAAGGATGAGCAATCTGAGTGTAAAACTTGTGTGTATGTAAAAAGGCATTTTGCTCTGCTCGCTACATGTAAATTCGAGGCAACAAATCGTACAGGCAACGGAGAAAATTATTTTGAATGTTTTTCTCTTCCTCTTTCCTTAATAATTTCATAGTCCATTAAAAATAAAGAACGAGGAGAATGAACGCACATGGACAGGATTGGCTAATGTCTACTTTTACTCAAGCATGCACTCTGACACTAATTCAAGAATGTCTTTCTTATGTCTTTCCCCATTTGTGTCCCTGTCCGTTTCCTTCATTTTTCCCTTTCTCTCTGTTTTGTCCTCTAAAAACACAATTGGATAAAGAGGAAATTCCATTTGGATATTAGAGTCCATTCTTAATGAAAACTTGCCGTATTCCTAATGCATTGCTTTTATATTATTATTATATCCATGCTCTCCAGCACCAGCAGCACCAGCAGCAGCTCACCATCCCTGTGGTAGCAAAGTAATAAAACTAATAAAAGTAATGGGGGAGCTGCTCCTCTTCCTGGCGTTTGAGAAAGAAGGAGCCAAAATATTTTACAAGAAATGAGAAAGTGGAGGTTGCATCATTTATTATGCTTCGACAGGTTTGCACGAGTGTGTCCCATCTTAATTAAAAAGGTAAACCCCATCAAAATGTAGAACTTTCAGTGAAAGTGGCAACAAGAAACCCGTCGTGCATAAGTTACCGTACATGCAAATGTATGGATGTATGTGGTTTAAAGATATTCGGAATATTTCGTAGCGTTTGTGCACGTGTGGGTCCATTTTCACTTTTCCATTTATACCGGGAGTGAAAGTGACTGAATTTCAAAGAAAATTCATTTAAGACTCACTTTTAATATTTTTAAGAACTTGAAAGGAAAGCGAAGTGCACTTGGCTGGCAACCCGAGCCGACTAATGGAAGTGAGAAGCGGGCCGAAAAAAAGACGCAGAGGTCGATGCGTTTATTAAACTTGATATTTGACAGTAATGGAAAGAAGCGTGTGGGAAAAAGGTTCTTTGGAACAATAGGCAAAGAAAACTATCATCATTGATTTAATTAAATTGTGAGCCAAGACGCAGAGAAAAGCTCAGTGCTCACTCCTCTCAATAAAGCCGCTGGGATTCATGATTCAATGCTCTCGCTCCTTAAATTCAAGGCGGAGAGTGAGAGAGCTTATACCCACCGACCCAACGACTCCTTGTGTAAAGATTGTTGCGAAAATAAATGTGAGCAGAGTACAATTTCTTTAAGAAAGACTTATGAAAGTGTCGTCCTCAGAGTGAATTATGAAAAGAGATTCTCTTCACTAAAAGTAAATGGGAAAAGTGAACCATGAAAGAAAATTGGGATTGAAAACTATCTGTCTCCATCTCTCCATTAATTATTCTACAAAAATTGGAAATTACTGGAGAATTTCGAGCATTACGTTCCTTCGAACTTCGGATTCAACCTTTTGTTTGAAATACTGAACGTGATAATTTCCCCAAAATCAAATGTAGCACAAACTTGAATTCATACAAAATATTACATAAATTTCGCAAAGTCGCAATCGAGAATCTTCGCGTGTGCACGGTCATATGTACACGAAAACCAAAGTGAAAAGTTCCTCCAGGAGAAAGAGAACCTTTCTTCCTTGGGTTTGCTTCCCTGGGTAGGACACACAGCCAAAGTTTACATGAGAGGCATGTCATTTCTCACAATAAAATATGGTCAGGGTTCAAGAACAGTTTAGTTTAGAATCTCGAGAGTTTTCGCAGTTTGGCTGATAGTCTATGCATTCACTTTCACTGCACACGATCAACTTTAACTACTTCCGCTGTTGGTACATGGAAGGAAGGAAGGATGGCGAAGGAGAGAAATGTAGGCAGCCATTTCTTTGCACCTTTCCCTTCGCCCATCTTCTTCTTGAGGAGGTTGCAAACTCTTCACCGACTTTTGACTCCTCTCCTCCGTACTTATCTCCTCGTCCTTCTTCCCACTGATATATGGACGGACGGCGTATATGTATGCGTGCGGGGTAAAAGTGCAGAGAAATTGAATAAAAAATGGGCCCAGCTCCAAACTTTGTGACTTTCCCTAACTTTGCGCAGATTAAAGATTATAGATAGTGATGAAAGAAAGGAGAGGGGATGATGCAGGGGTGCTCACGTGATAAAATTTGATAAGTTTTACCACTTTTATAAATTGTCGCTGATTTAATATGAAAACTTTAAAAATTTATGGACTCTGCCATTTCCAGAGTTAGCGTAATGAATTAAAATTCAGTAAAATGTGTATGCATGTACCTGCTTATTTTATTGAATAGATTATGTTAATTTCCAAAAGTGTGGAAACTGTGCAAGCTGTCAATAAAAAGTCGTGTTTACAACATTACAACCAAGCCGTATATATTCTACCGTTTGTTGCAATGCACATATCATAATAAGTCTCCGAGGTATTCATGAAGCAAAAGGTTGATGAGAAAAGTTGGTGTTTTTCGTGAAAAACGTGAACCAACTCGTGACCCGTACTTAACCCTGAATATCCAAGTAGTACGCACCAGAGATAGACAGGCTTTTCAAACAAACGTGCTTGTGCAAGGCGCAGCAATGCACTACGCGTTGGGAGGGAACAACACATTTCATTGCGTGGTAAGGACATTTATTGACGAATTTACGAGATTCTTCGTTAACTCGCCAGCATTTTCTTCTCTCTTTTTGCCAGAAAGTTACGTGAGACTGCTGCTGGTGCACGTACATACGTATGTCTACAACAATGCAACTTTTCTCATAGGCTTAAACTACGATGCAAAGGAATCACGACCGGAATTCCTGTGAAAAGATCTTAAGCCCAAAACACTGCTTCCTGCCGTATTTGCCCTTGGAAGGAGCGGTCTCGAGTTGTACATACGGAGCACTGGTGACACGGGGAATACTTCTCGGAATACATTGGTTTTATTTATCGTTGGTTGGTGGCAATAGCTATTTTTGTCCAGCAGGACTTTACATGAGATTCAGCATGTCTCCTGATGCACATGGTGTTTTAAGAGTTTGGAGGATTTAAGAAAATTAAAAGCTGAGGTCGTGAGTGATATAATGTGACGACCGCTGTTTCGTTACGTGTGTTTGTGTGCATGTGACAAGTCCGACTCCGAGTCGTTTAGCACCACACGCGGGCAGAGGTGGTGGTGGTCGTCGTCGAGGTTGCAATAAGCACTTTCGTAGTCAGCATGGTTTAATGCCATCGTCACCTTATCACCGGAATCTCATGTCGTGCTCCATTTCAATTTGAGCTGAGAGCTATCACCTCAATAAATACTCTTCGGGTTGTTG